TTAAAAAATATAATATATTGTCACTTTTATTTTTATTTAATTAAGATGTGATCACTTATGATTAACTGTCGTTAGATCTTTAATGGATTGCTAACGTGATATAATGGATTTATAAAATTAAAAAGGTAAACTACACAAATGTTCACTAATGTTTAAATAACTTTTTAGTTTTCTTACTAAAATTTCAAAAGTAACAAATTGACCACTAAAACATCAAATAAATCCTTAAATTATAATTTTATATCTAATTTAACTAAAAAATTATATTTTTATTTATCATTTGAAATATTCAACTGCTACATGTCAGAAAATGTTATTTACATAAATTGATGAGTAAAGCCCTCGCCCGCTCTTAAATTCCCCCGTTCCTTTTATATTCCTTAAACCGCCTTTCCCACAAAAACATGTTCATTCTTTCCTACAAAATGAAAATTTCCCCTTTCAAATCCCATCCTTCAGATTTCTAGCCTTGGATTGTTGGACGATCACGATGATCGAAAAGGATTTTTTATGTTTTAGTGATAAATTTGTTACTTTTGAAACTTTAGTAGGAAAAACAAAAATTTATTTAAATATTAATGACTATTTATGTACTTTACCATTTTTAATTTTATAAATTCATTGTCCACCAACAGTCAATCAAAAGTCTAACAACACCCTATTGACAAACCATAAACAAAAGTAATTAATCATGAAGTTAACCCTTTAATTTTTTTTGGTTGCCCTATCAATTCTAGAGCTTCACCTTGATTAATCTATACCACTCGGATCGTACATATAATTTTGGTAGATAAGTTTTCTAACGAGAATTTTTTATATACATAAAAACTCAAACTTAAGACCTATTTAAACAATATTAAACTACTTATCACTTAAACCAACTCAACATAATAGCCTATTTACTTATTAAAACTTGGCTTAAAGTAAGAAATGTTTCCCTTTGGTGTCCTTAAGGCAAAGGCATACTTATAAGTTAATGAAACCTTTTGAGGCCTACATTACTCCGACTACGGGTGTTTACCGAATGAGTCGACCGCGAGTTGGGTAATGTTCGACTCGTGCTCGTTAAATAATTTTATTGCTCAATTTGACTCGTTGCTCGTTAAGTTCATTAAAATTTTGCTCGATTCGTGCTCGTTAAGAAAACTTGTTGTTCGACTCGTTACTCGTTAAGTTCAATGCTCATTGCTAGCCTCGTTGTTCGTCAAGCTCCCCGAAATTTTTACCTTATTTTCTTAACTAAAGGTAAAATCTACTAAAACTATATAGAACTTAATATAAACATAGATTAATAAATTTAACAAAAAAAAATATCAAAAGAGTGTATGGAGTAATTTTAAAGTCTAAACTCCATAATAACAATCCACAAATAAATTAAAATAATAAAAAAGATTTAATTTTTGAGTGTGTGAAATATTTTTTTAAAATGACTACTAAAAACTTAAAAAAAAAAATAACGAGTTGCTCATGAACTTATCGAGTCAAGTTGAACTTTGCTCGACTCAACTCATTAATGTATCGAGTTGAGTCAACCCGAGTAAAATTTTTACCGATTTTTGACCGAGTCAAGTTCGAGCTGCTCACGAACTACTCATCTCATTAAGCACCCCCAACTCTGAACTCTCGGTTTTTACTTAAAGTACCTATCTCCGACACTTACTCCGGCTCTCGATTTTTAGTTATCTATCTCCGGCACTTATTATTGCTCTCGATTTTTACTTAAGCACCTATCTCCGGCGCTTACTCTGATTCTCGGTTTTTACTTGAGTACCTATCTCCGACATTTACTCCGACTCTCGGTTTTTACTTAAGTATATCTATCCCCGACACTTACTCCGACTCTTGGTTTTTACTTAAGTACCCTTCTTCGACACTCGTGACTTGAACATATTAAGATAGGCGTAAGAATATGATTTTAAAAAATAAACTCCAAATTTATCATACCCGTATTGGATATTCATTCCGGTTAACATAGTAGAAAACATGGGCATATATCAGGGGGCAATGAACTCATCTTCCAACAAGCAAAGGTGCAAGAATCTAATGGGTACCTGTCCAATAATGAGCCTTTCATGTACAATTACCTGCATCTATGCCGTATGCAAAAACAAAACGTAAAATCGTATAAAAGGCGTTCGTAATCGCAGTGCAGATTACCGAATAATAATCTCCGAAGAATAGGCATAGACGAACATATATGAGTCCATTATGTTATAGTTTAACTCGAATTCAAAGTGACACAAATTAATTAATATATAAATATTGGAAAAGTATGAAACTCGGTTTGATTAAAAGTACAAAACTTTATTAAATTAGATTTCTACTTTATTTAGTTTTCCTTTGTAATCAAGTATATATTCCTATAAATAGATACTAACGGTCAGGGTTAGATATTAAGTTTTTCTTTCACCAAAATTCTCTTGTATTTTCTTCCTTCATATTAGTGAAATTCTTCTCCTCTGTCTGTGGTTTTTCTCTTTTAGGGTTTTCAAGAAAATTCTGGTGTTCTTTGTTTTTATTTTTCGACCGTGTTTATTTATTTATCGATAATTATCGTTTCAATATTATAACAAATTGGTATCAGAGCTTTGTGTTTAAGATTATGGCAACAATGAAATATGATATTCCGATGTTGGATTGAAACACTAGGTTCTCGCTATTGTAGGTGAAGATTTGAGATGCTCTTGCACAGTTAGATCTCGACGATTCAATAGAAGGATTTGATGAGAAGTCAGTTACACAATGAACGAATGAGGAAAAGTGTAAGGATCATAAAGCTCCTTCTCAAGTTAGTTTACACTTATCAAATCAAATTTTACATAATGTGTTGAAAGAAAAAAAAAACAATTGTATCTTTGTGGGCGAAATTGGAGCAATCTTGCATGCATAAATCATTGACTAACAAGTTGCAACTAAAGCAACATCTTTGTTCGTTCAAGTTGGCGGAAGGTTCGTCTCTTAAAGAGCACATGACTACATTCAAGGAAACCGTCTTTGATCTAGAGACTTTAGAAGTGAAGTATGATCAAGAAGACTTAGGACTAATCCTCCTATGTTCGTTGTCTCATTTATACTCATCTTTCAGAGACACAATATTATACAGTCGTGAAACTCTCATTCTTGAAGAAGTTTACAATGACTTGCACTTGTTTGACAAGATGAAACATCTTGTATCTGGTTTCGAGCCCCAGAAAAATTGTCTCGTGATGCATGAATAGACTAGCTCAGACAGTGGGAGAAAAGGCGAGCGCTCTTCTGATAATATTGGAAGGGGTAAATCAAAATCTTCTAACCAAGGTAAAACTTGTCATTATTGTAAGAAATAAAGGTCATGTTATAAATCGGAGTGTTACAAGTTGCAAAATAAAAACAAAAGAGAAGCTGAAGAGCAAAACTCTGGGAAATATGGTAAGGTCAATATAGTATAGGAGTACGATGACAGAGAACTCCTAATTGCGGCTGACGACAACTTTATAAGAAATGACGAGTGGATACTTGACTATGGTAATAGTTTTCATATGAGTCCTAATTGTGACTGGTTTGCGACGTATGAAGTTGTATCTACAGGTGATGCATTTTTTGGGAAATAATGTCTCTTGTAAAGTCGTAGGTATTGGCACAATCAAGATTAAGATGTTCGGTGAGATTGTTCGAACACTTGGTAATGTGAGACATGTTCTAGATTTGAGTAGAAATCTAATTTCATTAGGTACTCTAGATTCAAAAAGGTACAAATTCTCCAGTGAAAGTGGAGCTATGAAAATTTGCAAGGACTCTCTTGTTGTGTTGAAAGGGTAGAGAAAGACTACTAAGTTTTATGTTCTACAGGGGTCAACAATTTTAGATAATGCAGTTGATGTTTCATCCACTAAGTCAAATAAACAAAATAACCGTGGGCAGAACGGTTATGTGAAGCAGAAAAGAGTTTAATTTCGTGAACATAATGAATTTGAAGATAGAATTATCATTGATGATCGAGATCGTGATATGCATGATATTGCTCGTGGTGAAACATTTGCTAGCAAAGTTGACACTTATGATAATCATGTCGATGTGAAGACTAAATCCAAGCCTAGAAAAGTTTGGATTTAGTGGGTGTCTATTTCTGAAGATTACCCCTTTGAGGGGTGTTGTTGAAGAGGTGGAGAAATTGTTCGTTGAAGTGAAGAATTGTTTTTTTGTTGAGTTTGGGTGTCACATCAAATTTGGATGTTTTGTCTCGAAACCTTTACACTTTCAGAATTCGTATAAAGGTGGATATTTGTTAGAGTTTGACTTGAATACAAAATGACACAAATTAATTAATATATAAATATTGAGAAAATAGGAAACTCAGTTTGATTAAAAGTAGAAAACTTTATTAAATTAGATTTATACTTTATTTAGTTTTCCTATATAATTAAATATATATCCCTATAAATAAATACTAGGGGTCAAGGTTAGATGTCAAGTTTTTCTTTCACCAAAATCCTCTTGTATTTTCTTCCTTCATATTAGTGAAATTCTTCAAGATTTTCTCTTTTGGGTCTTTCACGTAAATCCTGGTGTTCTTTATTTTTCTTTTTCGGTCATGTTTATTTGTTTGTCGATAATCATCGTTTCAATATTACAACACATTATAGCCCAAAAAAAAAACATTGGCGGAACCTAGGTCCAAACCACTTCATATTGAAGAGAAAGTAAGCAGATGAATTGTCTCTATACGTTCTAATTAAATTATCATGCCTAAAACATTGGGTTTACAGCCAACATTCATATCGAATAAAATGTGACTTATCGAATTCTCCTTTGACCCATAAGAGGAAAAGTTACAAATCGAAAGCAGATGAATGCCATTAGAAGAGAGAGGAAGTTTAACAGAAAATGAAGCATTTAGGAGAATACAAGGATACCTAAATTGCCCTGGCACACTAGATAAGAAAAAAGTTCTACCAGAAAGCAAGGGAAGCCAAGTTGCATACAATGTAAATAGCCGGGTAACATCCATTAGTTGAACTAGATAGCATGTACATACATGGGTGTTATACGTGCCACCGAATTTACGAAAATACTGAAAGAAGAGTCGGCACTGTAAGATGATGAATCCAGTGATGATAAGGAATATAACAGCATTTCAAAAATTACAACAGCAGAATCAGTTCCAAAACCAGATAAAATAGAACTGAATTAAAGATAAGGAATCACCAAAAATGGAAGGAAACAATTACCTAGATGGAATATCAGATAGAGAGATTTACTAGGCCTCACTTCTTATTCATCATGTGTTTGGCAAAGTGAAAAAGAAAGACACCTATATAACAGCCGCAATCTCACTTGCCTCGACGACTGCTTCAGCAGCTCGACGCGGCTTACTCTTACGCCTACTCCCGATTGCCGAAAACCATTAGACTTTGAAGAGTCATCATGCTTGGTCTGCTGCCGAAGCCATTCTCTTCTTTCCCGAATCGGCCTCTCTTTCACCTGGGGGTTATGTTTTCTCTTTTTGCCGATCTCGGCAGCAGGGGGACTCTTTCTCTCATTGGTTGTGATATCAGCTTTTCCATTCTCACCATCCTCCTCTTTACTTTTCCGACTCTTCGTCGTCAATTCATCTTTCAACGGCTTTTGTGGCCTTCCCCTTCTCTTCTGCATAGGAATTTTCTCTTCTTCGCCACTTCCCGCGTCATCATGGTTGCTAACAGTCGACTTCTTTCCTTTTCCTTTACCTCTACCCATACTCTTAAACAAGCTAATGAAAAGCTACCATTAAATTCAAGTTGCAGTCTGCAAAACCATAAATCCACAGATAAAAGAGCTTGGTTAAAGAGGCTGCCAAACCATGAAATACTTAAAAAGCTAGCCAAATTACCTTATAATTGAAGTGATACCATTGTCTAGCTAGTATTTATAATAATAAGAGAGCTGATTCAATTTCCAGAATACATCAAAAACAGTTTAAAAGCTTTAAAAAGGACATCCAAAGATCATAATCTTGGTTTATAATTCTATTAGAAACGAGGAAAAGTACTTTTTTATCTTTTAAAGTTTCAAGCTTTAATAATACCCAGGACTGAAAATTGAATTAGACCCATTTTTCCAAACATTTCCACCATCAAATGGGGAATACCATGAACTTGCAAGTGCAAATTTCTATCAAAACAATTGATACTAAATACTCAAATTTACATGAACTCAAACCTTGGTAACCAAGAGAATATCAATATACCAAATGACAAACAGAAGAAACATAAAAAGGAACTAATAATAAAGCAACAAAGAATTAGAAAGTAAAAAAGATTCTTTTTTTAAAAAAATGAAGAAACTAAACTTTAAAAACATTTCACAATCTTTAATAGCTCATTCAATCAAAGATCAAACGGAAAAGCATATAAATTTCAAGAGAGATGAACATCAACAACAACAACAAAAAGGAATAAGCTTAGAAAAAGAGAGAGCAGTGAAATCAACCTGAAATGAACCAAAGTAAATATGAATCTTAAACAAGAAACCCATCACTTTGAATCTGTTCAAAACAAAGCAGTCATACCCAAAATTAAGTTGATAAAGTTAAATACTTGGAATAACAAAAAGGAAGGAAAGATTCAAACTTTAAGAAAAATATGATCTAGAGAAAGAAAGTATATGTGATTGACTTTGGCTCTTTAGTCTCGTGTTTCGATTGGTGCTGTGTGATAAAATTGAATTGCTGAGGCTATTTTGGTAACTGTTAGTATTATTACGTGAAAATAAAATGAAAAATAACTGTGAAAAAAATGGAAAATTAACTGATTTTTTTTTCTAAAAAACAAATTTTAAAACTAATATTTTATTAACAAAATACGAAAATCATCTAATCACAAAAAGCATTTTTTTTCTTTTAAAAATCATGATTGTCAACACACATTTTCGTCCTACTAAGATTCAAACTCATAAAATAAGATAGAATTTTGCTATGATTCAAACTCCTAAAAATAGTATAGAGTTCTACTATGATTTAAACTCCTAAAGATAGGATCCACAAGCACTATAAATAGCCATTGTAACTCACTATGTAACACACGATTTACAGACAGGAGTTACACAAAAGGAACACCAGAAAAATACGAGCAAAGAAAAAGTGATTTCGAGGTTATTGTAAACGATTCAAAGTAATAAAGGTGAAAGCTTTTTTATCTTTCGTTTGTTCTCTTTACTCTTCACTTGCATGCGTTGTTAATCGTGTTTTCTTTGGAGAACCCCAAAGATAAATGTTTTAGCCGATGACCTAGAGGGAGTTTTTTCGAAACTTTGATTTCAAATTTATGCTCCATAGAGGCTATTTCGCAAAAACAAATTACATTTTTAGAATGAGAGTACGAAAATCTATCAAAAAATGAAATTTTTTTTATTTTGCCGGTTTTAACTCAATGTTCTTTGACATTTACCCACTTAATTTACATTCCTTTCAGTTTTTTTATATTATACATACTTGCTAATTTTATTTTAATTTATCACTTTTTTAATTTTCTCTATTTATATACGTTATTACCATATATATATATTTATTTTCTTTACATTTTTATTATTACTATTATTATTATTACTATTATTTTCCTTTTATTCTATTATTTTATTATTTATTTTATATTTTATATTATTTTATATTTATTTTTTATTATCTTTATTTTTTATATTCTTTATTTTGTTATTATATATTATTATTTTTATATTATATATATTTGTTAATATATCATTTATTTGTTTTTTTATATATATTGTATGTCTTTATATTATTAATTATTTAATTTATTATATATATTTCTTTTTTATTTATTATATATATATATATTTCGTACTTTGTTATTATTATTTTGTTTATTTGTTTTATTTATTTTCTTTTTATTTTTCTTTTTTATATATATTTTTATTATTTGTTTTTTACTTACTATTTTATCTTTGCTTTCTTCATTTATTATTTTACTTAATTTGTTTTCTTTTCATTTTAATTAATTAATTAATTTCTTACCATTTTATCTAACATGGCTTTTTTACTTTCTTAAGGGTACATTTTCAATCAATCAATATAAGTTTTGGATCGTTATTTACCTTTCAATTTAAACTTTCAACTTTCTTAATTAAAGACAACTGAAATTACATAGTACCGAAAGAGCGGTTCAAGGGTGCTAATCCTTCCTTGACCGTAACCGACTCCCGGATCCGACATATCACTGGTAAGAAGCATATCAGGTAAGAAATAAGGTATCCGTTCAACCCACTTTTCGTAAAGTAAATGATCGGTGGTGACTCCCAATCCATTTTCAAGTCAAGCCCAATTCCGGGCACAACCGAAAGACGGTTGCGACAGCTTGGCGACTCCGCTGGGGACAGGTAAGTGAGTCAGCCTAAGGTAATTTCAGTTGTCTTTTTAACGAAAAGGGTAAGTTTAAATTTTAAGGTAACATTTCGATCCTTTTTTATTTACTTTTGATTATATTTTCGGGTAAATAGTTGTACTAATCGTTTTCTCGTGATTTCAGCCTTCAAATCTTTTTCATTTAAGGCTCTATACCTGAGCTATAAACCCTGTCTTAAGTGGGGGTGAAAGCGACGCCTTCGTGAATTTATTCACCGTGCGGGCATAGCAAGTAGCCTTCGGGATTCATATACCTTATGTCTTCGTGTGAATTTATTCACCGTGCGGGCATAAGGGAATATGTCCTCTCAAGTTTAACTTAGTCCACACAAGCCTGTGATGGGTTTAGGACTAAGGGTCTGGCAAGCCCAAGGGGGCACCAGCAAGGAGAACTCGGGTACCGTTTTTAGAACCTAAACCGGAAAACCATGGAGAATTAGAGCCTACCCCAAAACCTCATTTTAAACCCTAGGATGCTAAATTATTTTCTACTTTACTTTCTGTTCAAACATGTGAACTAGAATTTATGCGGTTAGGACTTGTTCAAATCAACTTGCGATATAGAGATCATGTCCGGGTAGGAATAATAAGCATGTGGGTAGATATCATGTGGGGTAGGACTTTTATGATTGCTTTGATTATTATCTTTATCTTACTAACTCTTTTCATTTTTTTCCTCTCTTTTATTTTATTTCCATCATCTGCATCATTCAAAAGAGGTGTTGATCCACCAAAAAACGTGTTCGTTAACCATAAATAATCTGCATTAATAGACAAAGGTGTTGTAATACATGAGATTAAAAACCCCGAGGTGCGACTATGGTCCGAGAAGACTCAGAAAGAAAAGGGAGACAGTCTTCAAGGAAGTTATGTGTCAGAGCTTGTTAGCTATGCCTCTATCAGCCTAAAATAGAACAATGTGCAAGAACTTTGAGACATCTGGGACAGTTGGAAGAATGATCGAAAGCAGAAGTTCAGTCAGCGGTATGGTGACATTGCACTTTTGCTTCATGTTAAGACCGGTGAGCCCTTAATCAGAGCCTTGGTTCAATTCTGGAACCCGGGATACAGTTGCTTCACTTTTAACCAAGAGGACATGATACCTACCATCGAGGAGTATACTACCATACTGCACTGCGAAAACATCAGACTAGAGAGGGCATATATCAAACACATCAAGAGTCAGCCTTTCAAGAACGGACTAGCTAAGATTGTAGGGGTTGATGAAAAATGGGTGACTGATCGACTTCGACACAAAGGTAACGGGGAATGAATCGAGTGGATCCATATAAAGCAGCTAATGAAGAACCACCCTGATGAATGGAAGACTATAGATCTTTTTGCACTGGGTCTGTACAGTTTGATTATCTTTCCAAAGACCTTGGGGTGCATCGACGCAGCCATAGTAGAACTATTTGAACAACTTCCAAGGCGAGTCAATCCAGCGCCGACCATCTTAGCCGAGACCTTTCAGTCTCTTAATCATTGCAGAAGAACTGGTGGAGGAAGGTTCATTGGATGTGTTCAGCTCCTTCAAGTCTGGATTCACAGCCACTTCTGGAATACTAACGGGGTTGCCTACCGCCGATTCAGCACTACCTATTCATCATTGGGAGAGTTCATCACTATGAAATGGCATGAAGGCGCTTCAAAGGAAGAATGGATGAAGGTCTTCACTCATCTTCAGGACCGGGATATTACTTGGAGAGCCTCCTGGTTGTTTCTCAGTGACGTTTTTTTCTAATTTGGGGATTCTGACACTATGACCTTACTTAGAATTTGGGGTGTAGTTGGGTATGCTCCGTTGTTGGCACTTAGACAGTATGGGGCACGTCAGTTTATCCCAGCAACATACGGATTATCTACATCAAAGTTTGTGTATCACGGTGACAGTTATAAGAAGAGGATCAAAGAGGCAGTCGAGTCATGGAAGAAAGTATCCCTGATGGATGTCGTGGCTGCCAGAGATATGCTTACTCCGGATTATATGGAGTCGCGAAGATTGAGAAAGAATGATAGCATCCCGATGCCAGACTGTGAAGACACTCGGACCATGGAGGAACATTTCAAGCCTGTCCCTTCTGAACTTGAGATAGTCAAGGCAGAGTTTGAAGCTGTGAATAATGAGCTGAAACAGAGAGTTAAGGAACTTGAAGCTGAATGTTATCAATGGAAACTAGATGCCGGTTCTCAGAAAGATAGAGCAGACAAACTGGAAAGGGAGCAGAAAAGAGTCTATTTTGAGCTTGAAGACTTGAGAAAGGGGTACCAAGATAAAGTCAAGGATAACTCTTGAGAATCCAACGCCTGAGAATCCAAATGGTTGATCTGGAGAAACAACATGAGAAAGATGGTAAAACAATAGCTTCAAAAAGCAAGTGAGTGAGCTTCAGATAGTGCCCTTCGACGGGGGTTTGCAGTGGCGTTTCCGTTGGGAGCAAGCACAACAAAGGGTGAAAGCCAGAGACGCAATCATCCGAGATTTCCTGGATCAAGTAAAGAAGGCAGCTCTCCATCTACACGGCCTGGCAAGGGAAGCTGGAGTGGTCCAACAAGGCATACAACCAGTGACAGATGAAAACAGAAGACTTGTCAACCTGTTGGAAGCTGTTCGGGGTCTAGAGGATTTAGTCCGAATGTACCTTTGATTATTTTTATGTCTATTACAAGATAAAACATTTTTGTCGAAATAAGGATTATTTATAATAATGAGCACTTTTCTGGATCAATGCCTCGAACATTTCATATAATTTTTTCATTTTACGTTGTGCATCTACATTTCATTTTTAAGCATTTTCATAAACATGAATTTCTTCATGGAGGATTCGATGAAGTGGTTTTAACCACATGACACCAAATGGAAGCAAGATTGTAACATCAAAAGAAAAAACTGAAAACAATACAGTGGGAGCCTGATCAGCTGATTGTAGGACAAAGCCTACCAGGATGATCTAAGAAAAGAATCCCCATATCCTAAGGGCTACGATGTTGAAGCTGTTAGTATTTACCACATAAGAAGCCCCAAACATTCCTCTGAAAACTATAAGGTGCTTGCCGAAGAAGGGGGCATGGCATATACCATTTGCACTTAGAGGATTGTTTTGTTTGAACACGTCTTTGATCTTTCTTGTTTGCTTAATCTTTTAAATGATTGAATTTATGCTGCTTTCTAAGGTGGAGCAATTAAACAAATTTTAATCTTTAGTTCTTCGAATATTAAATGAATTAATGATTCTTTTAATTC